AAGATGGACTCTAATTTTTACATTTATGTTCCTATGTCTATTACATATGCAAAAAAAAATTTGTCTGAATGAGTATCACACTAGTGTTCTAGGTTACTAGTATGAATACTCCAAAATGATACAGTAGAAGCCATTCAAGACTTTAAGCATATGACTTCACACTATGGGATATATTTCACCCATTTCTCAGAAGAGTAAATTTTCAAGAAAGATCAAATTTTCGTTACCTTTGCTGACCCAGAAGTAAAATTTCAGGGTGACAGTTTATCTTTGCCTCTGTCTGGCTACTCTCTACCCCCCACCACCCGACTTCAGCAGCCCGGTTCCCGGGTACTTCCCCACCAGAATGGCCCTCTGGGGGCACTAACTGGACACCAACCCATTTCAAACTTCTTTCGCTTCCTCTGCATCATCCTGTGTTCCAGCCCTCAGGACTTTTCTGCCAGCTGATCTGATAAACCAATCCAAGTTAGTAAATGAACAGATGCGAATGGTTTGTGAGAATGAATGGTAGCTCTTTCCTAGGTAATCTCGTTGCATTCTATTAGGGATCTACTAGATAGAATTACTTTATTCAAATGAATGTCTCTAATAGTGAGAACTTCTGATCCTACATTGGCCGGAGGATAAATGCTTTGAATCCAGGGATGTTCTGTGCTTCTCCAATCGCTTTCTAGACAGCTGCCTATAACATACTTGCCCCCGATCACACTTCCATCACTTCAGCTGCTTTCCATCACTTCAGGACTTTTCTCCTTCCCTACTTTCTCCTCCTCCTCCTGAAATTGGCTAGAAAGTTTCAGGTAGAGAGAAAATGGGATTCTCGTGAACCTTGGTCTATCCTGTTACTTACTATACACTCTTGGCTGCGCCGCTCAAAGGACAATCACAAATGTAGACATAAAACACGTAGGGTTCAAAATATAGTTGACAACAAAAGGAGCCTACAACAAACACTTGAGGCCTCATGGGCTGCGAGCAACTGTCTTCCAAGCTGAGTCAACACACTAGAAAAAGACGCCTAGTCTCATCTGTATTCTCAACTGCTTGTGAGGAAATCATGCCAGTAAGAGTAGTTTACCCTAGGAGTCTCCAGTTCAGAAAATGAACTGCTTGATTTACAAACCCTATTGAGAACCTAGTCATTGATTAGTTGTTTTCAAAATATGTGTTGTATAATATATCTTTTGTGAAGTGTGTGTGTGGTGTGTGCGTGTGCGTGTGCGTGCGTGCGTGTGAGAGGCTGAGGAGGGAGAGAGGGAGGCAGGAAGAGAGAGAAAGAGAGAGAGGACAGATGCAGACACATTCATGCACAGGTATCTTTTGGAAGAGAAAAAAAGAAAACTGAAAATAATCCCACTGCACTTAATGAGGCCCCACTGGACGAGCCCTGAGTCTAAATCAGTCTTCCCAGAACCCAGTCCATCTCAGTGGGTCAGACAGCACCTGACGTCTACTTCCACTAAATCTCAAGGACATCTCCAGGGGATAGACCTCCCTTTGTTCAGAGAGAAAATTGGAAGCAGCGAGTTCAGCAACCTACTGCTTTCGTTAGCATCAATTACCACTGAAAATTAGAACCTAAGTGATAGGCAGCTGAGGGAATGGATTCTGAAATCTAGGGAAAGTCAGGGAGAACATTTGCCACAAGAGGGAGCAGAAGAATTGGATCAGATGGGAGACTGTTGGGTAGAGGTTATGAGGAGAGGTCTGACCATGAGGTATGGATGATACTGGAAGACGTTTTGACGAGACATTTATCCCTTAGAGGAAAAATAAAATAAAATAAAAGAGGATGGAAGGATCCAGAAGAAGTGAGATCTCAGCACCCTGATTCCTAAGTTGTTAGCAAATGTAAAGCAACAATTTAATTTTTAGAGAAAAGCCACATACATACATACAGCAAAAATATCAAGCATGCAAGATATGTGCTCTACCATCCACGTTTAATTGTGTATTTCTTTTTCCAGATTTAATTTCTATTTCAATTTAGATCTTGTTTATTTCCATGCTGATGGGGCAGACTGCTTGCTTCTTACCTACGTGCTTTTCTTACTCTAACTGAAGTCATCACGGAGAAAGGGCCTCTGTTACTGAATTGCAACATGAAAATCAGATGGTACAGTCCTAAAATGCACTTACTTTGAGAAAAACCCATCCATGAGTTAAATGTATGCTTTGTACTTGCTTTAAAGGGGGAATGCAACTTCGTTGGATCTACAGAGCTTTCCTCACCACTTATTTTGTCAAAGAAACAGATTAAGTACTTACAGGGAAGGAACTATGCGTTTACTTTGCAAGATAAATAAAAGTCTATTTTTGGCTGATAAAAAACATCTTAAATATAGCTTGCTAACAAAATGCTGAAGCTCTCCTGGAATATTTTATTTTCAACACATAGTAAGTTTGAAAGAGCAATTAATGTAATTCCTGCAAACAGTCCTGTAGGTGTAGCTGACCACACTTCACCTTCTTTTTGCAATTTCACCTTCCTTCTGCAATTTCATTTGGAGTTAAAGCACTGCTAGGGCTATGCATTTTTCTTCCCTTTCATGGTCAACAAAAGGGTTATCTAGTACTTAATCCAAAATGATACAGTAGAAACCATTAAATAGTAATGATAAAGTAAATAGAAAGATAGACAGTAGGTAGGTAGGTAGACAGGTACACAGATAGATAGATATAAAGCACAGCCTTCATATTCTTTTAATTTGTTACACTCCTCTTCCAGCCCTGCTAAGCTTTTAAGACAGAGTAAAGGAAGTCTGATTGTCATGGACACCTATATTCTTTGCTGTCCCTGCACAGCTCAGTAGTGAACAACAGTTTACCTCTGTCCAGTTTTTTTTCTTTTTCCCTAGGAATTAATCATGCCATATTTAATTTAAAAAGCCAGTTTAGGGGAAAAAAATTAAGGCTCCTTTTTTAGTAGGTGGCAGAAATCATAGCTAAAGAGCCCTCAGATCCAAATGGAATCCTTCAAGCAGGCAGAGTCCCTAAAATGAAAACCATTTAAGAAAACACATACTGCTTCTGATGAAATAAGTGGATCTTTCCCCACCTTCTCACTCTCGAGGCCCCAAAGATGGAGCGAGCTAGCTCTCTCTTCCTTCCTCCTTTTTTTCACGCGAGACTAACCTCACAATTGAGCAAGTTTAGCAAACCCATAGAGGTAAATTCAAGCAACACACAATTTGAAAGAGGAGCCTCAAAGCAATCATTCCTATTCCGGCGTTGTTTTCTATTCTGAAATGAATGAAACATCTAAATACATTTTCCTTCCTCTTTTCCTGACTTGCTGCACAAGTAGCTCTGAGAAAGAGAAAACGTGTGAGTGAGTGAGTGAGAGTGAGAGTGAGAGAGAGTGAGAGAGAAGAGAGAGAGGAGAGAGAGAGAGAGAGAGAGAGTGTGGGTGTGTGTGTGTGTGTGTGTGTGG